ATCATCTATAGGGAACATCCACAAGGATCATTTTTGAAAATTACTCCTGGGAGTGAGATGTGAGTTCAGAAAGGACACCTCGGTGTGCTAATATTAAAAGATGGTAACACCTTTAACATGGGGGGTTTAGAAAGGTAATTAGGTCCTGGGGCCTTGTGCTTAGCAGCTCAAGGCTGGGCGCTCAGAGAGTGAGTTAGCTCTTGTCTCTTCCATGCTTCTCACCTTCCGCACACGTTCCCTTCTCTCTTCCACGTTGACATGGCCAAGGGGTTCCTCAACAGAGCCCAAAGAGAAACACCTGATCTTAAATATTTTAGCCACCAAAACTGTGGACTAAATAATCCTCTTTTCTCTTACAAATTGCCCAGCCTTGGATATTTTGTTAATGTAATAAAAACAGACTAATACCAAAAAGAAAAGCAATTATGTTTCTATGTACTAGCAATGAACACATGGACACCAAAGTTAACTTTCAATCATACAAAATAAAGAAACTCTTAAGTGTAAGTCTAATGAAAACTAAAGCAAAAGTGTAGGATTTGTATGCTATGGTGGTTAAGCTTAGTTGCCAGTTCTACTGGCTTGGGAGTCACTCAGGTAATTAGTGAAGTGTACTCCTGGTTGTGTCTGGAGGGTCATGGAGGCATTACCTTGAGGTCCATTGGATCCCTGGCCCCTTCCTCGCTGAGTTTGTTCCCCTGCTCTATTTCCAAGTTTCCATAAAGTGAGCACTTTTGCTCTCCCCATCCTTTTCATCATTGTGTTTCTGGCTTGGAGCCAGCCAACCATGGATTAAACCCTCGGAAGCCATGAGCCAAGTTAAACTTCTTCTCCTTTAAATGTCAGTCATGAGTATTTTGCTGCAGCAGTGATAAAGCTGAATAACCCACAGGGTACATATTACTACAAAGTAATGATGAGAGAAATCAAAATGACCTGAGTAATTGGAGAGACGCTCCATGTTCATATAATATTCTGTATAGTACTGGTGTTGATTCTTCCCCAAACAAATGTACACTAATACTTTGGTACTTGCATTAATTGACCCAAAATGTGTGATAAGTACCAAAATAACAAGTACCAAACATTTGTTTTGATTGGGAAGAGTAGTGAATCGTGAACTAATCAACAATAATTTCTATCTTGTGTATAGGATACTAAACAAACCACAAGTACCGGGGCAAAATGTTTGTATCAAAATGTGTCAGGTACCAAACTCAACAAGTTTCATAGCAGCTGAGTTTTTACCTGTACATGATTTCCACAATTCTTACCAAAAAAGCTGCAACAAAAATCATTTTGTACATATAGCAAGATTGTTACAATACACATGGGAAGGCAAAGAAAATAGCTGAAACAGTTTTTGTTAAACAAGAAAAATATGGTCAGAATCATTTTACCTAATGTCAAGACTTATTATATAGTCAGTTTAGTGAACATTGGATAGTATTGAAAAAGAGACAGTCATAAAGGTTAATGAAACAGCATAAAGAACCACAAAAATAGAATCAGTTAAGTAAGGCAAATAGATTTTTGACAAAAGTGCAGATTTAATTCAAAGGAGGAAGAATAGCCTTTTCAAGTAATAGTGCTAAAACCATTTAACTTCCATAGGGGGAAAAAATCAACTTAAATTCTATGCTTTACTTGCAAATTAACTCAAAATGCATTACTGTAGGAAAATACAAATCATAAAGTTATGAAACTTGTCAAAATTAACAGAGGAGAAGTCTTCTAGGCCTAGGGCTTAATGAAGAGTTCTTCAGCATAATCAAAAGCAGGATCCATCAAAGAAAAAAATCATTAATTAAATTTCAGGAAAATTAGAATATTTTATGTAAATTTATAGGAAGAAAGACAAGCTACAGACTGGGAGAAAATATTTACAAACAACATATTCAACAAAGCAGTAGACTTTAAACTATATGTAGAACTCCCAAGCTCAACAGTATCAAAACAAACAATTCAATCAGAAAGTCAACAAAAACATAATGAAACACTTCTCTTAAGAGGGTGTATGAATGGCAAATGCCAACATGAAAAGTTGTCCATCATTGTCCATTATGGAAATGCAAATAATATCACTGTGAGATATCACTACTAGAATAGGTAAAATAAAAATTACAGTAGCAATATCAAATGCTGGTGTGAATGCAGGCAAAGTGGATCTTTTATACAGTTCTGGTGAGAAACAGCTTGAAAATTTCTTTAAAAACTAAACATGCATGGACAGCTATTTCAAAGATAGCAAAATATATTATGGTAGCCATGAGCATTTCTTACTCAAGTAACACAATGAGGTAACAACTCTCACATCCCTTGTGATATGCCCATATATGTAATGTTGTTTAATCTACACAAAATGAATCAAACTATCAGGCTGTAGAACACTGTGAATGATTCTTAAAAACATCCTGATGAAAAAAACACCCTCTGAAGGTTGTACCCTGTATGATTTATTTCTATAACACTTTTCAAATGACCAAATTACCAATGGGATTAAATAAGTGATGATCAGAGTTAGGGAAAAAAGAAAAGTTAATGAGGAGACTCCTGTCATGGTGGAATAGTTTTATACATCAGCTATTGTGAGGCTCACATAAACTTACATATGCAGTAAAAGGATTTAAAACCCCACATACATTATCGAATTATTAGTCTTGATAGTGTGACTCTATTATTATTTGGAATAAAAAGTTCTGAAAAAATCACAAAGATGGTAAACTTTGAAATAACAGCCTACAAATCATTAATTATCTTTGATCTGAAATGAAATGAAGAACTAGAATAATATGAAAAGAAAATATTAGTAAAAAAATAAGTTGCATTCTTTTACAAAATGAGAAATCATACTGATTAAACAATTTTAAGAATTTTATATGAAGATAATTATTCTTTATTTTGTGATATTGTATTTTAAGGAAGAGCATTTTTTACAGACCCTACTATTTTTAATAGTTGAAGGTAACTGAATATTGAGATTTGTCTGAGTTATTCTATCCTACGGGCTAAAAATTCCTTCTAGAAAACAGGAAGAAACCGTGACTTTTGTATTATATCTCTACTGTACACAAAAAGATCAGTAATCCAAAGTATGGTGTTTCCATATATTTTTGTACATCAGCCTTAAGACACAGAGACCAAGCAAGAAGTCTTTCTTACATTTGACAGACCCAGAAGTGAATGATAAATTTGATTCTGTTTCTGCTTTGCTTAGCTGCCAAGAGCTTTCTGAGTGTCACACAGCTAACCTAATAAGTTTAATTAAAGAAATATTTATAAAGTGAAACAATCAGCTGAGAAAACGATCATATAATTATCAAATATGGTGGTCAAATATGGTGAAAGCCGTAGATGATTTAGGAAAGAACTCCAGGTGTGTGATGCCATGTTCTCATGCTTTATTTTTGCTCTCAGAAAGTAATTATATAGATAGCATATTGTGCTCTAGGTCAGCCAAAGACAAATTCCATGTCATACAAGAGAATTTAGAAGTGCTTTGCCATAAGATACTCAAACAAAATGAAATAGCACTAATGCTTGGTCTAATGCCCCTTGGCAAAAAGAAACCTTTACTGTTCTACTTTGAAGAGGATAATATTAACATAGAACTGATGGTTTTTGACCAATCTCTGCTGACAGTTTTATTTGATAGAATCTGATGAAGAGGGAAGCAAATTGCATTCTTTGAAACATTAAATACATCCAGTGGGACATGCCGCTAATTTTGTTGCAAAGAAGATGATGAAATAAGTGTGTGTACCACAAAAACTAAGGTGCAGGTGGAAATTCAGGTACACCTTCATTATATTGCTTTATGTAGAGCCAAGGTTTCAACAGAAATTTCTCAAGGAATTTTGAAGAGGAACTACTGTCTCATCCTTTGTGACAGTCCAACAAATCATCCCCCACTTTAGTAATAAAGTGCCCACAGATTCTGTGGGTCAGAAATTGAAGCAAAACCTGAAAGCAATGATGTCTCTCACCTCCACAAAGTCTGCGGCCTCAGCTGGAAAGATCTCCAGGGTGAGATCAATAGCTGGGGCTAAAAGTTTTTGAAGGTGTCTTCATTCACACCTCTGGCGAAGGATGCTGGTACCTCTCTGGGTTACTAACTTCTGCCTCTCTGCCTCTGAGGTTCTTTTCACCCAGGCTAATTTGAGTCTCCTCAGAGAACAGCAGCTGGGTTCAAAGCACAAGACAGCGGAGAGAAGAAGGTGGAACAATGTGATATTTGGAATTTATCTAGTTTCATTTCTTCTGTGTTCTAGTGATTAGAGCAGTCATCCTGTCCCCCAGCCCAATGTCCAAGGAGAAAGGTCATTGACTTAGATGGCAAGCTTCTAGAAAAACGTGTAGAATAGAAATTATTATTGCAGCTGTCTTTAGAAAACGACCCTGCCAGATATGTTAAAATTATAAAAATAAAAAGTATGAGTAAAGGCAACAATTTCAGTTCTGCTTTTGAACATCTTTAGTACTTTCTTTAAGAAGGTTATAGAACTTCAGATTGTAGGGTTATAGACATAAAATTTCATCATTATTGATCAGTTTTGTGAGAGTGATTTAAAAATTCACAAAATTAAAGAAAAACATAATATAGGAAGTAGAATTTGAAGCATCCACCAAAAAGATTATACAAATGATTAGTTTAACATTGAAAGAAACTCTTGACATTTAAAAAACATCTCTCATCTCCTTCCATGAGAGAATCCCTTGAACTACCTCAGCATCAGTATTTCTAGAAAAAAGAATTTACTGCCTCTGGAGTAGCACGTGCACTGAGGAATCTGTGTGGGGCAGAATCACAAGCCACTGTGGGGCCAGTCGGAGGAGGTTGTGTAGAAATGGAGTATAAATTCATCTGTCAAAATATAGAAATTGGATAACTGAAAAAGGGAGAAAAATTGTTAGAAAAAAAATAAATTCAGGATATAAAAGAACTATTATTTGGGAACAAGAAGCATTCCTTTTTCAGAAAATGTTTTGTTTTATTTCAGGAGAGGCCTGGAAAATAAGACAAGAAACTGGCTAGGGTCTATTTGGGAAGACTTTCCCTTGGGTCTCGTAAGCACAGGTAAGGGGATTGTAGGGCTGGTGTGGTATGTACATCTGTAATGCTGGCTACTTGGTAAACTGTGGCAGGAGCATCACAAGTCCAACCTGGGCAACTTCCCGAGGCTGTATCTTAAAACTGAAAATGGAAGGTTTGGGGATGCTTCTCAGAATTCCCTCAGTTCAGTCCCCAGTCCCCAGTCCACCACCATCACCACACACACACACACACACACACACACACACACACACACACATTTTTGGAAGGTTAATCCGGAAGGATGGATTGGAGCCAAAGACAAAGTGGAGGTGGGAAGCTTTTAAGGACTGTCCAGGTGCAAAGCATAAAGGGGCCGTGCAGGGCCTCCATCATCCACATTTGGGTCTTCTGTAGACTGCAAGCAGACAGATCTCCCAGCTGCCTCTCTCCGCTACACACATCTAGGTGCACAGGTCACTTCTAGGAGCATCCAGGGACCTAGAGACCCAAAAGTGACATGCTTAAGACTTTGGAAAGTGTGATTCATTTCTCACCTGGACCACTTTGCTATGAAATAATCCCAAGGAGCATTTTGGGTGAAAACACACTGTATTATAGTAAAGTAGAATTCCTGAAGAGTCAAATAACTGAGGTTACTTTAAAACAAAAGTAAATATGTAGACATATAAAATATAAATCTACTGGTGATTTGATAAAGGGAATGGGTTGGATAGAGACTTGTAATTTCCTCTTCACCGCTGGCAACGAGCCCTGTTTCACTACATCCATTCAGCAGATAGATTGTCTTAATTTCTAAATACATATTCTAAATTTTATATCACATTATCCTGGATGTGAGCTACCACTTCATTTCTTTCTCCCTAAATATTATGTACCATAATTTTCTGAACATTGAAAAAAAAGAAATAGGGGCACATAGTTCTGTGATAGATTTCCCAGCATGCACAGGGGCCTGTGTTTAATCTCCAGGAATGAATGAATCAGTGAATCAATGAATCAACCACCAACCACACATACAGAGAGGAAATGGGTTAAATCAGATAACTCCACATTTAATACTAAGCTTCAATATTCTTAAAAGTCCCTTAGCTGTTTCTAACAATTGAGACTCCCTCAGAAACCAGAATGAGGACTTCAAAGTGGAACAACAAGTTCCTGCTATGGTTTAAATGTTTGCTCCTTCGAACCTCACGTTGATCTTTAGTTGATATTACAATAATACTAACAGTGGCACTTATATAGGGTGGCCAGGCCACTAGGGTCTACTGTCATGAATAGACTAATGGTTTTTACTTCCTGACCTCCAGAACCACGAGCCAGCAAATTTGTGTTCATTATAAATAACCCAGTCTGTGCCTTCTTTTTAGCAGCATAAAACATGTTGAAGCAGACCCTAATAGCTATGAGTCTTTGAGGAAATATGCAAGAAAACAAACATCAAAATGAAGATTGACTTTCTACTGAAGATCTTCAACCTATCCTTACTTAGGCCTTAACATTCAAAATGTTCGAATAGCCAGGTGTGGTGGTGCTTACCTGTCATCCAGCACTCTGGGAAGCTGAGACAGAAGGATTGCAAGTTTGAGCCAGGCCTGGGCAATGTAATGATTTAGTAAGGCTCTTTCTCAGAAAGCACAAAAAACGGCTGGGGATATAAGTCAGTGAAAAGACCCAGGTTCAATTCCTCAGTACTCCCTTCGCCCAAAAAAAATTTCATGAAAATAAGTATATAATGTGGTTACTTAGATAACTTTTGAAATATGTATGTGTATATAAATATATGTGCATATATGTATATCTCTGTTGTTTTCAGTAGTTGAATTTCAATGAAAATTTAAGGTTATTGCTTTCACATGACTTTAGAAATATGTAAAGAAAATAAAGTTCCAGAAAAATAGAAACTATCAAAAACATGCATACATTTTAAAAGTAACTTGAGATTTTAACATATCTAATTATTACTCGATGAAACTTATTTGCCTGGTTCCCACCAGCTTTTTTTTTCTTTCAGTCTCTCTGAGTTAATGTGTACACATTGTGTAAACTGTCATGCACAGAATGACCACAACCTGGTCAAGGTGGGCCAACGACACGAGGTGAAATCCCTATGGCCCAGTGATGACAAATCCATTAGAACAATGCAGTGCCACCCAATACTCACATTCCTGTATCAGTGCTGTTGTGAGCCAACCTAGTTTGCTGTGAGCTGGACAAAAGCATGGCACAGACAGCTGTGTGTGACACATGGGACTTCATAGTGACAATCCACAGCTTTCGCACTGGCTTTCTATCCACTACACTGTACATTTGTTTAGGCATGGTCTTGGAGCGTGCTCCTTCCACTTGTATAAAATGTTTACAGCCACAGCCACCTCCTGCTTACCACATCTCTTGATTGCTGCAAGAGGTCTTGTGACATGATTGACCGATGTCATCCAGGTGGGTGCGTGCATACACTGCAAGGACCGCGCAATGATGACATTGCCTAACAGTGGGCTTCTCACTTGCAGTTTCCAGTAAGTTTCACCATACCCGAGGAGTTCAAGAAGAAGCAAAAGTGGTGGTTTCTGTTTTGTGACAGGGAACGTGAAGCACAGAGGGGTTAAATGCCTTCCTTCCCACAAGGTCGCAGAGAGAATCTGTGCTGTGGAGGGAGAAGGAGTCTTTCCTGCCTGAGGTTCTGTATGTTAGCCATCATGCACGGGCGAGGGCAATGGATGCTGGCACTTTACATAAATATATGATGATGCAGTGCTATATGCAATAAAAATCTGAAACATAAAATGTGGAAGCAATTCAAGAAAACAGATCTCACATTTTTGCCTTTGTCAGAGTCAGAATCTGACATGCTCTGATTAAAATTCAACATCTGCAGGCATTTAAAATTAAAATATACAGGTATTCATGTTTTCCTCCTTCCACAATGTTTTATTGCTGCTTTTTTCATCTTAAATATTAAAAACATTACATTATTTTATTTCATATGTCGAAGTCCATGTCTTCCTATATTACACATTGCCCTTTCACCCTGAGCTCTGGTTCAAATCCAGCTCTTAGCCAAGGAAATTAAAAACATCTGAAAATCTTTAGCAGACTCATCTCAAGGTCTAATGGACTACAGTTTACACGAACTTGACAAACACAACAGACAAACAGATTTGCCACCAATTAAAAGGTTTACATAAAAACATTCAGGAATGAGAAGTCTAGAAAGGCCTCTCCCACCTGCAAATTGTGCCTTTGTTTCACAGACAATTTGTAACAGTAGGAAGAGAGAGAGAGAGAGAGAGAGAGAGAGAGAGCACCGAGCTGCACCTGCCCTTCCTAAAACAGGTGAATGAAGGATCCAGATCATAGAAACCCTTTGTCACATTGTGATGGGGCAAAACTTGAAATGTAGAAAGGCTTGGAGGACAAAAGGAGGAAGAGAAAAACAGCTCTAAAATAAATCATCCTTTTTTCATGCAAAAATGATTTATGGAGGCATGCACTGCATTAATACACTTTGCTAGGTACTTTTCACTGTGCCTTCCAGCAAATCAACAAGATAAAGGTAACCTTAAAGAAAAAACAGTAAGAGAAGCCTGGTCATCTTTGTGCAGACTGACAAACAAGTTCACATTTCATGATTTAACAACAAGGAGACAATGGGAAATTAAAATGGAAGGCCTGCCACCCTTCCCAGGAGTGAAAGATCATGTGCTTTCAGGGCAAGGGGCAGAGAAGAGATGGGGAGGACTGAAGAGGATGTGTCCCATAGAAAGATATTTCTAGTTTTAAAATTTAAATACTGTGTAACCCAAATAATATATACGCTCGGGTTACCAGTCTGTATCTCTGCTCTCCAACTGTTCTTTTATCCCACATCTCACGACCACAGAATCACCATTCCTATGGGTCCAGGCCTCATCCCTTCCCCCGACCCCATCTCGTCCCCTCTAGCCTCCTCGTCAACCTAAGCAAAGGCAACAATAAGGCAGAAATTCAAGGCACAGATCCCTTTCAGAGTCCGTTACAGTGTATGTTCACTAGCTCTACTCCCAGAGACGCTGGTGCTGAAAATTTCACAGGGGTCCTTGGAATGTGCCTCTTAAGGACTTGTCAGGTGATGCTGAACCAGGTGGATGGTGAAGGGCCAGACCTGAGGGAGCAATTTACTGTAGCTCTGATTATCCGTTCTCACTGGATTTAGCTAGAAGGGAAAAGATCAACCTGTGGAAATGTGCTCTGCCTCTTACTATTTCCTTTCCTCTACCTGCAGGGCCCACGGACTACGGGGTTTTGCTAAGGACTAGAATTATCCTTGAAGCAATTACCCTTGTTGAAAAAATAAAACAAAACAGAAAACCCAAAACACTTCAAATAGGGAAGGGATAGGGACCAGAAAGGAGGTGCATTCTATCCCAAATCTCTCTGAGCTGGTACCCACCCTCTTCCAAATTCCAGTCTTAGCAGCACATTCTCCTATGAATGGACCCATGGGTCCAAAGGCCTTTTTCCAACTCACCTGTCTGTACATACCTGAAATCTTGATCCATTTTTGTTTTCAATTCTGCACTCAGCAGTGACAGGGAACACCAGGCACCATCCTCTGATAGTACAGGACCATTTACAACGTGTTAAGGGACACATTCAAAAGGCCATGATGAGGGCGTGTTAAATTCAAGATGTGCTGAGTCTAGATTTTGCAATGGTTGTTCAGTGGTTGGAATTCCTACTTTTGATACTAGTTGGAAAGGTCTTTTATAGAGACCTTCAGCTTCTGAGTAGCGTAATTGAGGAATAGTTTATTCTCACATAACTTGTATGTAGAGTTACTGCCAAACCTCAGTCTTTTCCCCCTGACAAATTCTTAAAGACAGAGCTGTGCCCAAACATTCAAATTTGGTAGCATTAACTCTGGTAACCCAACTCTGACATTCCACTTAAGGACACAGGGAAAAATCATAAAAACCTTCTGTTGCACTGAATTCAGTATTTGACAAGTCCCTTAAAGAATAACGGGGATATTCTCACCAAATGCCTTAAGTCCTGTCTTTCCCACATCTTTCCCTGGAGTTTGTTCATGGACATCTTAGGATATAATAAATCCTTCTTTCCTAACAGCCAGCCCTTGGAATGCTGGACAGATGGTATTCATCACTGGGTGCCAATCTGATTTCTAGGTAGATACTCCAGTGATGGGGTAACAGCACGGTTCATTTCAAATTCTTTAAGGTTGTCTTCACTGTACAATGAATTTTATTTAAGGTTGATCAGGTGAAAACAAATATTTTCACCTATTGATGAATTCAATGAGCTCAGTCTGAATTCATTTATCAATTCAACTTGGCCACATATAACTGTGGTTAGACATCAAATTCAGTGACCGAGATGGATTTCTATAGTGAAGATTGGCCTGGGAATAATTGTGGTTTTGCCTTGTTGTCTTTTATTTATTCTGGTAGACATTCCAAACTTGGGAGATTTGTATTTTTCTTACGTTAGACACTGCTGTTTGAGCCAGTCACAATAAGTAGATACATTCCAGACTTTCTGCAAGGAGTTTTGTTATTAGAAATACCACAAAAGTGCTTTCTTGCAGAGAGGTTTCTTCAGAATAACATAAAAGCAATTTCATTGATAAAAGTAAGTCACATTCTCTTAGTTTACCAAAAAAATCCCCACCCAAATCCCTTCCCTAACCTCTAATATTTTTTCAGCAGTGCCTGCCATGTTAATAATGTTATAACATATTATGTGAAAGGACCCACCCTTGGTTTCCAGGAGTGCAATACCTGGGTAAAGCCACAAGGCTTAAGAGAAAGAAAGAGTTACAACTCAGGGCTCGGCATTGCGTATACTTAGCCCATGATAAATATTTAATCATTTCTTACATAGATAGTAAACAATTGACTACTAAGCTTTGATACAGATCATAAACTCTGTAAGTTTGAGAAGACTACAGAACACAGCTTTCAGGAAACTCTGAGGGGAACTTGTCCCGTGAAACTCACTGTGGGAACTCAGGCTCAGATATACTTTATGAAAGAGAGATAAAACCTACTAGTTAGTCATTTAAGGGAGCAAAGAATTAAACAGATAAATGGCAGGGTGGTGGGGGCATCCAGGTGGAAAGAACAACAGAAAAACAAGATCAAGTCAAAATTAACCTGGAGCATGGTGAAGTTAAGGAAGTTTGCCTAAGTGGTTCAAACTAAAGTCACTAAGGGAGCTAACTGGTTTTGCAGTAGCCTACCTGTCCAAATAGCATGTGCTCTAGTAGAAACACAGTAAAAGCTTGAGGTGAATGTGTAGTTGTAGAGTAAATGATTGCATTCGTGTTCTCATAGAAAACTAGCAAGCAGTGAAGTCTTATTTGGGGTTCAGGAAACAGAACCAAATCCAGTCGCTTCACAGCTCTCTATGGCAGTGTCTGTACAAACTGGGAAAGGGGAGTTTGGGAGGAACAGGAGGCAAAATAAAAATGAGAGGGAAAGTCTTACATATTCTACTTTCTGCCAGAGTTAAGAGATGCCAATCTAATATGTGTGGTTCTACAGCTTTTGTTTCTTCCCTGATTTTCCTTATCATATACTGGCCTTTGAAGGCTGTGGTCAGTTCTCATGTTTAATGTATTTGTATTTGTTTTTACTTTTCTGGCTGTTTTTTTTTTTTTTTCTTCCAATGAGGAAAATTCAACTTCCCAACAGAAGTCTGACAGCCTTCCCTATCTTGCCTCATATGCCAATTAATCAGTCATGAATGCTGAGTTTATCCTTTCAATTCTTATCCAGGTTCTTCTTTTGCAGAAAAGAAGTGATCCAGAAGATGCTCTAGGAAACCTGCTTATCCTTCCTACTAAGAGCTACTTTTAATATTGAAATAAGTGCTACCCAATGAAGGAATTCTATATCCATCTATGATGCCTCCTGAGAACCATGGCAACCTGAGGGCTCCCTTTTTCAGTGTCAATGCTTTGTCTGCCCAGTCCCATCACCACCCCATGTTGTCCAATTCTGACAAGCAAGTCTGTCTTTTCTTCCAGAATGTGAAGTACTCCATTCAGGGGCCATCTGTTTTTCATCTTTGTTTCCTAATCCTATTTCAGGAGGCAACACCCAGCTGCAGTGTGGCCCACCAGTTCAGCCCTGGTCTTGAGTGGTTTGGAAGAGTGGTTCAGCACACTGAAGTTGTAGACCCTTTGGAAAGTTGCATATGCACCCTATGCCTGCCTTTCTTCATTTATAAAAGAGGACAGAATAATAGTAATTCCTGTGTGAGAGTACATAGAACAATGACCAAAAATATTAGCTTCTCTTCAGTGGTAGATGTTCAATAAATATTTGAATAAAATAAATTTGCCAGAATCAGAGGTTATATGGGAATACATGAGCCACACACATGCACAAAACTTGTGGGAAAAATAAAGCTAAATAAGGCATAAGATAAGCCCATATGAGAGGCATATGCTAGAAGGGAAACTAAGGCACACATAGGAGGAAGGAAAGTTCTGGAAGGAATGTGATAAATATACCAGCAGAGGAAGTGAAGTGGACCATAGTTCAGAGTATAGAGGATTTCCAACATGAGCTCAGCACAAGCCACGTGGCTGAATGGACAAATCTTTCAACATAATACAACTGTGTTTACATAGCATTTGTTCCATCATCTCCCTCAGAGTCCTCATCCCTGGAGATTAGTTGATTAAGGAAAACAAAAAAAGGTGTCCATTGTAATACATAGAAACTGAGATTTCAAGAGTCAAACTGGAATCTAGTTTTTGGGCCAGCCACTTCCAAGTTATGTTTTTGAACACCAAGGACAGGGGATGGATATTCCCAGAGGTTAGTCTGCTGTTTTGTGCAACCAGAGAACTTTTGCTGCCAAGCACCAGAGATGTACGCCTGAGTGTAACACCAGGAGAGCAGCCAAGGCCCCACTCGGGCTGTTTTTTTTTTGTCTAAAGTGGATGTTTTTCCAAGCAAACTGCATTGTGTTCCCAAAAGAGATCCATCATCCTTGTCTTTACGGTTACACAGCGGGAATCAAATTGATGGGGTGATGGGTGTCTGGGCCAAAGGAAAAGATGCTGCACATCAGAGACCCCTCCCTTTGCCTGATCCTTTTCAAGAACAAGAAAATCTTTGGAATGAAATGTAGTAACTGACCTTGAAGGAACCCATCCCCCGGGTTTGACGCTCAGGAAGCTTTGGATATTTGGGAAACTCAGCGCAGCCAATGGGAACTTTCCTCCAGGCTGCAAGAGAGCAGAGTCAGTTTCCGTTAGTCTCGGATTCTGAAGTCAAGTCACGCTTGGGAGTTTGGGTGGCTGTGGATTATACGGCCAACTTTCCAACACCAGCAAATATATGCAGATGCAGTAGGGCCAAAGCATTCCCAATTGTACTAGGCTAAATAGCTTTCAATGTTAAAACCATAATTCCTCAAATTGGACCCCAAAATACATACCTTCCTTTACAAGTTTATAGTTTTTTTTAAATTTAGGTAGCTTTCCAACTATTTTTAATTATGATTTTTTTAAAAATATCAACACATTAGATTGGCTTCAAATGACTAAATCTAGGTCAAGTGCAGAATTTTAAGATACTAGCATAGTATCACTCGCTAAAGCTTGTATCCAAGGTCCTCAGGGTTACACCATTCCTTCCTCACTGAACCTCATCTCTTCCTACACTAATTTCCCTCAGAGACACTAATTCCAGGCAGCATCTCCCCAACCATTCCAACATTCTAAATTCCACCATCCCGACCTACTTCTGCTTTCCTCCTCTAGTCTGCAGTTCTGGGAGGAATTGCATCCCATCGTCCATCATTTATTGATCATTACCAGCCAGGCTCTGTGCTTAGAACTTTATTATTTCATTTAATCTCCATAATAATACTATAAATTAAATACTACTATCCTTGCAAATACACTTCAAATTTGGGTCCTGTCAAGAATGTTTGGACTCTCAGTCTGGCCTCAAGCAGTATCTCAATTTCTCTCCAATCTTATAGGAAACTACTTTCCAAAGAGTAGACACAAATATCCTTAATAGTCCTATGTCTTTGTCTGTGTGATATGTAAATGGTCTATCCCATAAATACCAATGCTTAGGAAATAGTCCCGATAAAATGTGAGCTGACTCAAAAATATAAAGTAAGGACATAGATATGGGGCAAAAGATGTGAATATGTCTTTCAAACTAAACTGTTGAACAAACTAAACTTCTAAAATGTCTAGTTCTGTTATCAATAAGAAGATGGCCTCAAAAACTCATAATCGTCTTTCCTCCTTTTCAGTTTCCAAACCCTTCTACTTTTCCTATTCCATTCATTGATATCCTCTAAATTTTTATCCTCCTTTAGGTTTTCATGCATCTCTCCATCCATGAGTATTTTCCTTCTGTATATCCCGTCTGTCTCCAGGTTTTATCAGACCTTCGATAATAATATTTTTCTACTCATTTCTTAACTGTTAGCCCCAGGGACAGAATCCAGTAAATAAGATCTTGAAACAACTTCCTATTCCAACTTCCAGAACGCTCAGGAAGCTTTAAGAGTCCTTGTCAATTTTACACCCAGTTCACTACTGAGCAAAATTCTGCAGCAATGTGTACAACCATCATTCTTTCTTCCATTTCCTGTGCCATGGAAGTTACAAGAATGCCGTTTGTAGAAAGCTGGAGAGATACGTTTGTAGGACAAGAAGAACTGAAGCTTCCAACAGTCATATGAGGACGAGTAACACTGCCTCTGTTTTCCAAAGGCAGTTTTCTGCTTGTCAGTAAATTCTGTTTCCATCATATCTGCATCTACACCCTTCTCCCTGGTGATCTTTCACTGCCAACTCCTCCTCTATCATCCACTGTGAATGTTGACCTGATGATACATTTGCTTGTTGATTTCCAATCCCCATGCTCCACCAACCTTTAGTATAATACTTTGTGGAACTCCTGAATTACTGGGGTGTCCGTATGTCAGGTTGCTTCCTCTGTTTCATGCTTAAGTTCTTTCTTGTTTCTCCCACAGTTCTCAAATGAACTTGCTGTCAGTCTACTGCAACTGACTGGACTACAGGCCATGGGTATTCCATTATGGCAAAGAATTTGTCTACATTTTGACTATGTTGAAGACATTGTTTAAGACTGAGTTCTAAAGTAACAGACTAATTGATCTGCTGGAGGAAATTTCAAAGTAGCCTATCTCTCAGGCTGTGGCACAGATACTGATGTGAAGGTTGACCAGGAAAAAAATGGGTGTGAGGTTCTGGCAAAGGAGAATGTGATCACTGAAAAGACTAGCATTAAAAGAAGACTGCATTAGGACAGTAGGTAAATGGTTTGAAGACATCTCAGGAATCAGTGAGACCTCATGTTTTCTAGGCTCACAAATGCAAAAATGTAACTTTTGAGGTGAGCCACCGAGCCACCTATTACCTGGGGAATTGACTTTCCAGTACTCATTTGATTATGCTCAGATATTCAGAGGTCCCTGAGCCATGACTCAAGGGGGCTTTTCTACTGCTCCAGCTGGAGGCAAAATTCAGAATTATTCATATAATGCTGGTTGTTCAGGCATAGAGAACATAATTCAGAAGTTGTGGAATCATGCAGGCTTCTACACTAAAGGAAGGGTTGGAAAGCCAGGCAGGTTGACCCCAAGAAGCCAATGTGCAACTGTGAGAGTAAAACCAAAAGTGCAGTAGAAACCCCAGAAAGTTGTAGATACCAGGAATGGGGAGCATCTGCTGAGAAAAACTGCAGGCGGCAAGTGGAGCTAGCCCAAGAGAAAGGCTACATAGGCTGTAACCAGCAAGGTCATAGAGGTGGGGCAGCCTAAACTCTTCTCTTCGGTACTCACATCTCCTGACTGTGGGTGCCAGATACCAGGACACAGAGTTACAGAATTTTGTTTTGGTCCATTTCTTCTCTACCACCTATTCTTCCCTTTAGAATGGATATGTTTATAGTATGCCATTGTACATTGGAAATATTCAGTTTTCTTTTATATTTTTACAAGGGATCAAAGCTAAGAATTTGTCTTGAGTCTCAGAGGAGACATTGACTTGGACTTTTCAGCAATGCTGGAACTGTTAAGAGTTTGGACACTTGTAGAGATGGACTCAATGCATTTTGTATAGTCAGATGGACGTAAGCTTTTTAGGACCCCAGGGCAGAATATTAAGAGTTTAGATATACACTGTCTTCCAAAAGTTTCATGTGTTGGGATGTGGTTTCTATTTGGAAGAGGCAAACCACTACAAGTATGACCTGCAAGGGTATATTCTTGTCCCCAGCTCCTCCCTTTTTTCTTGAATTCTTGGTAGCCATGCAGGGAGGCACTTTCCTCCACGATGCTGTTTCTCTTCTCCTTGGAGATGGCTTACCACAGAGTAAGCCCACGGAAACCATAAGCCACTCTCTCCTCCTCTAAATTGTGGGTGATGTGTATTTTGTCTCAGTGACAAAAAAGTTGGCAAATAACAGTCAGTCTTCCTCTTTATTTATTCAAAGCCACTAGTCTTGATGACTTTAATATCTTGGAATTATCTCACCCTTTGGAATTCTGTCTCTCTTCCATTTAATATCAAAGCTTCTCATGACCAAGTTTCTCATTGTTCCCACCACACTTACTCTACTTGCTCTATTTCCTCCTTTTTTTACCTAACCATTTCTTTTCTGTCTCCTTCACTCATTTACTTCTCCCTGAAATTGAGGATTCTCGTTTCATCTTTCCTCCTAACATGTTAAGAAATATCATCTGTTCAATAAACCTACAATAACTCTACACAGATAAATATGCAGTTCTGACACTTTTTCAAAATTTGGTAGCCATTTCCACCTACATAGCATCTCAATATGTCATCAGTTCCACTTGGTTTCTCTCTGTCTGCTAGGGGCACAAACATCTTTCTAGTCATCCAGCTCTAGAACCCATCATTCATTACATCACGTTAATGGTTCACATTTAACATATCATTCAGTCTCTAGCATTGTTTTCTTGTTTTGTTTTTCAAATGATCTCTTTATTTTAATTCATGGTCTTTTAGGGTGAATGTCATTGTCCACATTTTATAACTAAAGGTTTGGAGGTTAAATAACTTTTCTAGTGTTAACAAATCTGATCAGTGATAGTACAGGACTAAACACCAGTTCAGTTTCAGAACAGACATGGGTTTCTTTCCTTTAATCAAACTAACTCTGAAAACAGACACTGCTGCATAAAATAATAACAATACCAAAATATGTGTAATTAGAAATGTATCTACTCTTTAGAATTTTTCCTTATCTGAAGAAGGCTAATTATTAATTCATACAGGGAACTCTTATTTCAAAATTTCAGCTTTTATAAGTATATAAATTATAATAAGTTAAGGGAAAGTTGGAGGAAATCCACTGTGGCATGCTGCTTTCCTGATCTACTCCTGGTTCCACACATCAGTGAAGTAAACTTTGATGGAACCGTGGATAAGTTCCTACCCTCTCTATTCCTTGGTTTCCTTCCCTGTAGTATGAGTCTTTTTCTTTCTTTCTTTTTTTTGGTAGTGGAGATCAAACTCACAATCCTACACTTGCCAGGCAGGTGCTTATACCACTGAGCTAAACCCCCAGCCTTGTATTATCAGTCTTAACCTTCTGTAGTGATAGTGAGGTATCTGTGAAATCTAATGTGGGAAAATTCCTTGACATACATACTAAGCACTCAAGATAGGCAATCAGACACAGAACTAGCTTCAGTTGAGTGGAAAAGGAAGATAAGCTGACTCTTGCAACACTTCTTTAGGTAGGATCCTTGGGACACACAGAGATGGCAGATCCAAGTGTAAGGAGAAGAAACTTACCTAAACATATTGATCAGCAATATAAAGACTAGACCCCAAAATGACATTAGAGTTTTTTATTTATAGTATAGAGCTTGAGACACAAAACAGAGATACTAAATAAATATCCATTAAATCAAAATATTTTTTGAATAATCAAATGATTGACAGTCCACGATTGACTATATCTAATCATCAGCATCTAATCTCCAAAGACCTTATAAACCAATAGATCTAACTTAACTCAATATGTTAATTGAAGTGAACTTTATCACAAGGTTGTGAAAAGTACAAGGTAAGTTTATCAGTGCTAATGCTGCTCCCAAGTCAAGCTTTCATCTTAGTCCTTAATGCTTTGGCTTATCATTTACGTCCACATTGTCTCTACTTTTCAACGGACTTCAGGTCTCCCTCTGCACTTCCTTTCAGTCAGTGCCATTTTCTATTAAAATAACTGTTATTCTTACCTATCTTCATAAGCTTCCTTTCCTTTCTTTTCTGATCCAATGAATGTTCCCATTTCTCTTCCTGTTAAGTGTTACCTACCACCATCTCTGATTTAGTGACTCTCTTTCTTCACAGCCTCTGCTGCATTTTAGCCAACCTCCTTTTGAACTTTTTCTTTGCAGTTTATGTACAGCACCTCCTAGGAAACCTACTCCACCATGATCTGCCCTGATTCTCTTTGTTAAAGACCTAAAAATTTCTCTTCCTCTACTAAGTCCTCCAGGCTTAAACCAAAAAGGAGATAATACTTTTCCCAGCTCCAGTAACCTGCTTATATACTCTCCCACCTGAAATTAAAAACACTTCACTCAGAAATTCACCTAAACGTTGTGCAAATTTGCAGACTTAGCACCATCCCATCGTCACTTGTGCAATGAATTCAGTCCATGTCTTGCCTATTACAAAATTATCTAGGAAATTATAGTCCATCTTAGGCAGCAAAAATCTAAAGTTGTGCTCTTAACTAGCACATCCCAATTCTGTGAGGCCTGAAGTCATCCTCAGAGGGAAATACTCCTTTCTGCCAGCTACTCGAGACTTAGGGTGTGTAGATGATGAAGTATAAACATGGCAGAAGAAGATGCCGTGGGATACACTGAATATTGGACAGTTTCCCCAAATACTGTATATTAAAAAAATGAATAACATTATATTTGAGCCTTTCCAATGTACCTAATATCATGGAGATACTATCACAGTTAGTGTATTATGACTAATAAATGCTATTGGTTGCAGATTCATTGAGCCAGAACAGCCTTGCTCAATACTGGCTTGGAAGCTTCTGGAAGTCATCTCAGATGAGCAGTTTTAAAAATCTATTTTCAAATGACATATAGTAATTGCACATATTTATGGAGCATATTGTGGCATTTCAATACATGTATATAATGTATAATGATCAGATTAGGAAAATTAACATATCACTCCAAACATTTATTATTTCTTAATATTCAGTCAATTGTTGTCAAACATAGTTAACCTATTGCATAATAAAATCGTAGAAGTCATTAATCCAACTTGCACCCATTAATCATTCTCTGTGAGCAATTTTTAAAAGAATTGCCACAGATTTAATCATTTTCTGGGTTATTTAACAATTTTACATACTGTGTATCATTTTTTAATAAGACTTCTAGGCTGGTCCGAGTGCAGTGGTGTTTACAACTAATTGATCACAACCAGTTACAGATTTCTTTGTTCCTTCTCCACTCCCACTGCTTCACTTGACTAGCCTAAAAAAAAAGTAAAAAATAAAAAATAAATAAGACTTCTAATTTTCCTCATATAGTAATATTGTGGTGACTTAGGCTGATTCTTTCTTTTTTTAAAAAAAAATTGTAATCCAATACGATGCAAATGGTACGGATGACGGGGGTAATACAATTTCCAGTAACAGTGCTATGTGCTCAAATACAAACCACAAAATAGATGCAAAGGCAACCATTTTTAGAAAACTACTTTGAGCAATTCAAAAAAACTCACACATTATAACAGGCTGCTGATGCATGACTGTTCCCAAGATGCAGGTAAAGAATTCAACAAAATGATCTTGTCAGGAATGAGCTCAAAATGTTACCTCTAAAATAGTATGACATTATGTGTAAGATGTGATTTTCAACTTGTGAGATGAAACTAACCTCCATGAGTAAACATTTAACTCTCAAGGTCCCACTGTCCCTACCATAGTGAAGCTAGCCAAAGACATGCATGGCATTTCACCAGGACAGAGATGCTGTCACATCGTATGAGGTGGTCTTATATCTGCATTCTCCCGGTGAGTTTCAGTTCAGGTAACAAAAGCAGGGTGGGCAGAAGGTTCGATGGACAGACAGCTGGATGAGTGACTGGCTCAGGGACAAAAGACAGTGACACATTTTCTTACTGTCTCACAGCAAGATCATAAGTGTGTCCTGTACTAAGAAAGATTGGGACACTCTGGTCTGGAGGACAGGAACTAATTCACTTTGGTTCATTTTGTTCCAGAACGGCGAGTGCTCGCTGGATATTATTCATTGATGGTTGGGATGTGCCATGAGGCTATTTACTGCAGCATCTTGCTGATTTATTACGTAACACAAAAGAATGCAGTCTGAAAAACACGAAAGGTGGAGAAGCGTTCAGCATCGTAAAGGCATGTGTGATACGTATTTAACCCTTTCTACAAGCTTCTCTAACCAGTTCTTTAACCCTGCCTTGGGACTTTTCCCAGCTGAGGGCCCCCTTTTGTAGAGCAGTTGCAATGTATCGTCACGTATTGAACTATTGCCAGCGAAAATTGCGTGAGGCTTCATGGTTGTCTGTTCCACCAAGACAAATACAACTGGGCCCATCCCCTCCTTCGAGTGCATTGTTCATGGTGCTGAGCAGCGATTTTCCATATCTGACTGTCTTTGTGTTCACCCCAGGAGGAAGGGTGAGCCTGGTTTATTGAGTTTTCATTTCTCACAAAGCAGTAACATCTGGAGGGCTGAGCAGTTTGTTGGCAGGTCCAGCCCAGAGGAATTCGGCCACGGTTCTGATTGGCTCTTATCAGTAGGTGTCACTAAAGACAGCTTCAGAGGCAGAAAAATAAGGGAACCAATTAAGCGGTGCCAAGAACAGACTTTTTATAGGCATTTCTGCTCTTTTGATTGCTATTCCGGCGGCAGACGTTTCAAGATTCTAATTATTCCCTGGTTCCCCACCACCACCACCCTCCCGGCTGCAACAGATGAACATTTTTCCATCTTTCAAGTGTCTTTTTTAGAGTGAGGAGAGTGGGGCGTTTAGTTAATGTATTTATTTTGTGGTGTCTGATGTAGCAGTTTAGCAAAATGGAAACAGATGAAGTTGATTAATTCTAACACTTTATTGCAATGAGGCTGCAGCTGGCTGCTCATCGGGAGCCCAGCTCCCTTTCCTCCTTGCGGGAGGAAACAGCCAGAGGTAGCAAGCGCGGGCACTCATCCCACCTTGGCCATGCCTTTGCGTTCCCAGAGGACGAGCGCATGAACTCCAGCGAGAGGCCACATATTTCTGAGGAGGTCAGCAGAGAGAACATTCAGGCCTCTTCCTGGAGAGGGGCCAGCCTTCTCCACAGTGGCCACCATAGTCACTGGTTTTAATTATTGGTGACCGTGGCTTTTTCACCTGCAAAGATACAAGCCCAGGGGGAACTCCAAATGCGATATCCAAATCCAAGCAACACTGCATTACCACTCATAGTCACCTGAGGAAAACAGCGGGGAACTATTCATATGGGTGGATTTGATTTGCAAAACGGACTGTGAAGGACACCAGGGCAGGGACCTCAGTGTCAGCACATTCCTGGTATAGGGGAGAGACCCAGACAATGTCAGCTGAGTGAATGAGATAGCTCGAAACTCAGACTACCCATAAACCATAAAGATTTATATATGGTGTCTACCGCCCTCTCTATGTGCTAAATTTGAATGAATTTTGGCAGGTGTCTTCATCTTGTCAGGTTTCAAGAACATTTCTATTACATCTGGTTGGTAAATCCTTGGGTCTGAAGATCAATCCAGGAACTTTTAATTCTAAATAACTTATAGCTGCAATTATAAAGACACAAAGCTAACCATAATAATAATAGGGTCTGTTGTTTATTGAATACTTAAACAGTGTCTAGATTAAGTTCTCTACATTATTTCATGTACTCACACAATCCTAGGTGATGCGTGTGATTATTGTCCCCATTTTACGTATGAGAAAACTGGAACCCAGCCTTGTTATTTGTTCCAGGGTACAGCTGGAAACCTGTAGAGCCTGCCTGCCGGACTCTGAACCTGTTCTCTTAACTGAGTACTTTACAACCTTCTTTTCTAACATGGAATTAGTAGTAGTAAATCTTAATAAAGAGAATGGAAGGTATTTTGGAAGAGAAGAAAATAGAGAGTGGAAGAAAATGAGTGAAGGCTAAATCTACACTGCAGAATTTATTGCTGGGTTATTGGTGTTTAATATATGCAGAGCACAAAAAAGTATTGCTTGTTTCCATGACTGGGGATTATTTATACTCACAGCACTGTCATCTAGGCTCTAGCACAACAGTGAATGACTAGTGGCCCCAATTTTCACCATGAACATTCTTTCCCTGGCATCTTTCTGCAGTTTTGGCCTCTTAAGTCCAAGTGACATGATGCCATTTTTATTTATTGGGTATAATTGCTAAGCTATACTTGCTATAAATCTACATTCTTGTATTCTTTAGGAAACATGGTTCTTGAAATTGCAAATTACATACCAAAATCCAGAGCCCGTTGGCCCTGGAAACATGCCTAATTTCCTCTGCACAGAACCTGCAAAAGATAAGAACTTCAAAAGCCAACCTTACACCGTGTTCAGATTAAAAGCTTAGAAATCTGAAGGAATACGTAAGTAGCTAAACATTGATGAAAGTATTACTTAACACACTGGAATATATCTCATTATTTGTAAATTATTAGAATAGTTGGTTTTTAAGTTGGATTTTCCCCCCAGAAATATTTCCTCTTCTAGCAAGGCACAGCATACTCACAATAGACATATTCCTAACACCTCGAAGACTATTGTTCTTGTTTTATCCCCAGTGGAGAGCATCCTTATGGAGTTTATGTATAACAAGTGCATACTTAGACAATTACCTTTGGCAATTCATTCTCCATATCTTTAAGAGTCATCTAGATTATTGTCATTTTGTCACAACCAGTGATATGCCCATCCAGATTAATCAAAATACTAAAGTGGACTCAGTAAAGGCATTCCTCATAAGTCAAAAGCAGTTTAGAACTAAACTTGTAGAAGCTCTAATCCTTTGGAGATTCATTTATAAAATTCAAATCTGCAATCACTGAAGACCCATTATGATCCCAATTCTTTATCTTGCTATGCATTAATTTTACCTTCAAACTAATGACACAGTTAAAAGGCAAGATAAGTGTCATGACAGATAATTCATCTCAGAAGGAATGAAAGATGACCTCCATTAGAAGAGTGAGAAAGGCTTCATAGAACAGGTTGCTTTGAAGGATATGTCAGCTTCATTGTTGAAAATAGAACAAATATAACAGTGTGATGTGGTGTCAAGCAGAAACTTCAAAACCTACTAGGAAATGCCAATAGTTTAGTGTAAATGTAGGTGGAGACTGGGCTAAAAATCAGACAAGTGTCAATTTTAAAACGAGCCTTGCAGACTGACCAGCTATGGAGTCTGTACATCAGTCACTCCACCGAAAGGAACTACTGAAGGACAGGATTATCATAAGACCAACTGCAAGCTTCAGGAGGTCTGACAACAGTGTCTAAGATGAGATACATGAAATCCAGAAGACTGTGAGGGTGATGGCAACAAACACAACTCTATGCTAGATTTGACAACTAACTGCCCAGAAGACTGGATAGTGGGATTTTAGGAAATCAAGAGAGGAAACAAAGATTTTTTATTTTTTTTTTACTGATGACAGAAAGGACAGTGGTTCTGCTATCAGAAACAAAAGGTCAGGAAGAGGGAGAGGTTTTGCACAGGTACAAGTCACCGAGCCTAACTCGGGACAGAATTAGTTCAGTTGCCACCAGTACCTAACACACACAGAGCAGGTTCAGAATGTAAGCCCGTAGTTGTTAATGTAGAACCCCCTATCCCAGCAGTGGCAGTGGAAGACATGCTTCCAAAAAATAGGGGAGGAAAGCACATAAGCTTGAATAGGCAAGAAAGAAAACTATTTGCCCATAGTTAACAGGACAAAGGTTGAAAGCCATTTGGAATCAAGGAGACTGACATTCAAATCCAGACTCCAGTTTTAAAAGCTGTGCAGTCTTTCCAAAAATTATTTGAAAAATGTTAAACATTTTTACTGCCAGAGAAATGCAAATCAAAACTACATTAAGATTCCATCTCACCCCAGTTAGAATGACTATTATCAAGAATACAGTGCAATACAAACAGTAAACGCTGACAAGAATATGAGAAACTGGGAATCCTGCTGCACTGTTTGCTGGAATATAAACTAGTACACTCACTATGGAGATCAGTGTAGAGGTTCCTCAAAAACCTAAAACTGGAGCTACTATTTGATCCAGCTATAAAACTTCTCAGTATATTCCCAAAAGACTGAAAGTCATCATATTACAGGATACCTATGTGTCTGTGTTTATTGTGGTGCAATTTACAATAGCTGAACTATGGAAATAGCTAGGTGTCCATCAGTGAATGAACTGATAAATAAAAATGTGGCAAATATACACAGTCATAAAGAATGAAATAGTATTTCCAGGAAAATGTATGTAAATGGAGGCCGTTGTAGTAAATAGAATTGTGCAGATTCAGACAGCCAAATATTCTTTCTTTCATATACGAAACTAAAAAAAGAGAAGAAAAAGAAAGGGATGAAAGTAGTGCAGAAGGGAGATTATTAGAAAAAAGGGGAAGCAGATGGGAGACAGAGAGAAAAGGGACAATAGAGAGATAAAAATAATCAAAGTAGGTTATGCACATGTGTGAATGTACCACAGTGAAAGCCAGTTTTCGGGGTAACTCACAGGTACTAACAAAATTTGTAAATTGCTTTGAGATTTTAAATCTTTCTTGACAATCAAATGAAACACAAGATCACAAGTAAAGAAATATCCAGTAGCAAACTGGGTGAAAGATATTGTAAGACATTTCATCTAAGAGAATATGTAGATGTCAAATAAGCCATGATAAGATGTTTGACTTCATTAACCATTAGGGAAATGTAAATTAAAATTACAATGATCTGTATCACCACACACCTATCAGAAGAGTTCTAATAAAAAAATAGTGATGCCACAAATGTGGGCAGGCCACCTCACCAGACAATGGTACAGCCGCTCCAGATAACAATTTGGAAGTTTCTCAAAAAGCAAAATGCTTAGTGGTATGAGCTCCTGCCTGGCAAGCACAAGGATCTGAATTCAATTGCTGGTTCCAAAAAATTTTTTATAAAACAGCAAAATATGCAGCCATATAACTTGGCAACTGAATGTGCTATAGAAAAGAACAATTTACATTCGAACAAAAACCGATACACAAATGTTCATGGCAGTATCATTCACAGTAGTTCAAGACTGAAGTTCATTAGGAGGTTCCTGGAGCATCTATACCATAGCCAGCAATGCAAAGGAAGAAACTACAGGCATACATTTGAAAAACTTTGGAGAGAATTATGCTGAGTGAAAAAAACCAATCCTCCCAAAATTACACACCATGTGACTGTGTTTATATAACACTCGCAAAAGGACAAAATTACAGAAATGACTAGTAGTTGTCAATGATCAAGGGGGGAGTTGGGATGAGAAGGTTATGAGTTTAGCTTAGGAAAGAGAAAATGAGGGCTTCTTGTGGTGATGGAAATGTTTTGTATTGTCACTGAATCAACGCCAAGATCCTGGTGGTGATGTCGTATGATAAGTTTTGAAAGACATTACCATAGGAGAAACTGGGTAAAGTATACATGAGAGTTCCTCAGCGTTATTTCTTACAACTGCGTATGAATCTACAATTATTTCACAATAGAAAGGGAAATGAAAAAAAAAAGACTTCTAGCCTCAAGTTATCCTCTTGTATTTTGATGAGATTTAGTAGGCAGTCAGTACAGATTAATAGGCTATTTAGAAGAGAAGAGAGAAGAAAGAAGGAATGAATGAAAAGAGACAGAGGAAAAGAGAGGTGTTTGGAAGCATAGAACAGATGGGAAGGGGAAAGAGAAAAATAGCAACATACCTTTCAAAAGATTGTTCTACAGAATAGTCTAGGGGAAACTGAGGCAGGAAGAACAGTTTTGGAAGTTCTGGTAGAGTTCTAGAGGTGAAATATGTTATCTTTGAAAATGGAGAGGAAACTTCTCCCTTCTCAATAAAGAATATGAATTACTCAACATGAACCCCTGAAGAATTCCTCTTGGCATGAAGTCCCTGAAGTGTCCAAAAAAAATAGATGGCCCACAGGGCATAATTTTACAAATTTAAAAGTTAAAACACAATCTCCCTATCTGCTCCAGCACATGTGTGTCCTTGCAACATGATATTTATGATGTGAATTGGACTGATTAAATCCATTTTAGGGTTCAAGGATTTGCACAACCTAAATATCCTGGTTCTCAGGGAGTGAGGAGCTTCGTGTTTCCTTTGCATACTTAGTCTTACTAACATCAGTAGGAAGCTGTCTGTGATAAGCAGAAATTGGCGTGGAGGCCAGGAGGGGGCATTTAGCTGTGCACCGCTGAGTGTCAACCTGAGTGCAGGACTCCTCGGTCAGGATTTCATGACCGTCCTTTATGAGCCCCTTCCCGGGCCTTGCTGCACAGGTGGTACATATATAAGAAGGCTTGACGTGAGAAGTTCCTCCAAGTCAGTAAACACAGAAGAGAGGGTGCTGGCGAGAGGGTGAACTCCACCAGGGAATCTAAAGGAAGCCAACATTCCTGCTAGAGACCACAAAAAACTGGTAAAGGAATCAGTGAATTTGACTCAGGGCTGAAACTGAAGATCATTACAAATACCGGGATAGAACTCTTGACCAACATTAAGAAAGTAAAATCCAGTAGGAAAAATTACTACCGTCTTGCTCTCGTAGACCCTACATTATGTAATGTCAATGAGTTAGTACCCCTAAAATGAACAAATCAACTTTTACAAAGAGCTAAAGAAAGACCCATGGAGTATGTATATTATCTTCACTCTAGACAACTTGATTGGACAAGTTTTTGAAAACAAAACAGAGCTAGCAAACCTTCAACCGAGCAATCACCAGTCAAGTTGGACTTGACCAATTGTTTGTTCCTCTTTATTAATATCAGGCTGGGATTATAGTATCAGGCCAAATAATGATGTAAAACCCAAAAGAAGGAATGCCGCTAATAGCCAAATTTGTCATAGAATTATCACATTTTCTGTTTCAGTATTAAGCTCAGAGGGGACACACAGGGTGTCCTTCACCATGGTTGGGGTGGAAAACATTCAGAAGGCAATGCAAACATCCCTGAAAATAGACAGTGTGGAGGGAATAATCAATATAAAGGTAATTACCATTGCACTCAATAATGAGCTAATTTCTGCATAAAAATTGGAAATATACTAAGAGACAGCATACAGAGAGCTCTTCTCTAAAGATTTAGGCAAATCTTTTCCTGGGTTTCTGACTTGACCTTCAATGTGTCACTGTCTCCATGTGGTCCCACCTCGATACAAGTTGTAATACTGTCTCGCTAGATTGCTGCTATTTTATTTTTAGGAAACTATATAGTTTAGCCTGGCTCCCCCACCATTCCAAACATATGGAAGCAATTAATTCATTTTCTCT